TCAAAATTTGATAATTACGCTTGCAGGATAAAAACTGCTCGAAATATCCATCAAAAATGGAACGGAAGAAATCTTAATGCCTGTGAAAAAAAGATTGACAGAAAATAGTCGTTTCAGAACGGTATTAATCAAAGTTACTCAGCAATATAAACACATCGACAGCGGTTTAATTACGAGGTATTCATTATTCATTTTTCGATTGCTTTCATTTCCTCAAGGTTCATGTATGACGAGTATAATAAAGCGCCTGCATAAATCGCCATGTTAAAGTCTAGACTTTAGTACTTCGCTGTTGTAGGTTCGGATGAACTCAGTTACATCTAGATCTTTCCCATCAATATCCCAACTACGATACAATGTACGGTTCTGAAATGTTGGACATGTTAGGATAAAGATCAGTCACTCATGATCGAAAAGAAAGTAAATCGTTTGTCTCATGGCCGTAATTGTGATCAGCATTTCGGCTAAGTTCAGCCGGAGACTCGCATGTGAAGTCGTAAGGCAAAAGGGAAACTCGCGACAATGAATATGCGATTCATTCCCATACGTGCACGATTTTACGCTAAAAGTTAGAATTATCATTCCTTGAACAAAGAAAATTTAATAAAAGACATGATTCGAACGAAATAAAGAGGGTCGACTTCCCAGAGCAGTCTTTTTCGTTGTTTTCATGGTAATCAAGTGTTGCTAACATGTCAATCTAAGAAATAATATTCAATTGGGCATAAAAGCGTAGTTTTTCACTTACGACCGCCTTCCACTTCAGCACAGTTCGACCAATTACGTATCAGGGCGTGTATCAGAACAAATGAACGTTTGTAAAATAAACAGTCAATAAGTTGGCAGTATATACTGGTCCGGTGATACAAGAATAAATAGGAACGCCTACTATTTTTGCCTTTTCGGCGAAAGGGTTTCACTTCGTTCCATTCCGAATTTATAAGCACGGATTCTTGTACCAGTTTGCTCGTAAGTGAAGGCTACCCTCAACTCCGTCAACAAAAAAAAAAAGATTCAGAGACCTTTTACCCGATTTTCATCTCGAGATCCTTATGTGAGCAGATGCACATAAAATTCAAACATTGAATAGACTCACTCTAGTCTGATTACACCTCGATATGTTCTTGTCATGAGTGGCATGATGCGGACAAGTAAAGCTTGATGTTAAAAGGAAGGAACAGATTAAAAACTCTGTCATCGTGATGAAATATCCCAATAAATGGGTTGACGATGTTGTCAAAGTTTCTAACTGAGGCTTTTAAGAGTTTAATTTCCTGTTCCTGAAACGGTGGTCTTACATGCGTAGCTGCGACTCTTCGCTTCAAGAGAAACCACGCTTAGGGATTAGAAACCATCTTTTGGGTAAAATAACTTGTATTAGTCAGTCATTGTGATTTTACGGAACTGCAAAAGATTTGAGTCAAGAGAAAAGATGCAATTATGTCAAAAATTGTGGTCACAAAATTTCGCGAAGGAATATTAAAAAGCATGATTTGTGGCTTCTTAGTACATGCCACAATATTTACACCGCCGATAATACGTATATGTATTTGATTCTAGATTTCAATTCACAGGAGGGTCAAGTTCAAGTAAAAGGTGAATTACGGTGAACCCGAGAGGAAATGATTGCGTTTGTTAGCTGAAAGGTTACTTAAAACTGACTTCTTTTGCTAAAACGAGGAATAATAAGTTGAGTGAAACAGGAGGCCGATCAGTTAATATTCGGAATGAAAATGTGGCGGAAGTAAATCCTGTGCAGATGGAAACAAAAAAGGTAAACCCATTTGTTATTTGAAAATTTTTGCATAAGTGCATTTCTTGGTCATAGTTTTCTCCTCTGGGTTTGATGGGCTCTCAATCTTCTGGAAATACTAGTGTCGATATCCTTAGGCTACAGAGTAAGGTTTTTATAAACCTTGGCATGTGAGTCGTATTACCTTGACAAAGGCCTGCTTAAGGAAAGCGAAATGCTCTTAAAAGTTTGTTGATCAGTGCCTTCATCAATGGATACTGTGAAACAGGATGACATGAACAATTCGTCAGCGATTTCTTTTTGTAAACTCACATGTTTGATCAGCGGTGCTTAATGTACACTAAAACAGGATGGCAAGAACATCTTTGATGTCAATCACATGTTTTATCAGTGCATAATGGACACGCCAAACAGGTTGACAAGATCGTACATCTCTTGATACCCGTGCTATGCAAATAAGATGGTGATATATGTACTAAGACTATATCATTCTTTTTTTTAACCAACGGAAAAGGCATCCGAGCAAGTATAATGACCCGATTCAAAGTAGGTTTTCACTGGTTTTTGAAAAGAGTCTTTAAAAAATCAATTAACGAACACTGTAGAACATAACTCGCATTCGAAGTCGTAAGGCAAAAGCGAAACTCACAAGGTTGAATGTGTGATTCATTAATGCACAATTTTGCGCCAAACATTAGGATTGTTCTTTCTACAAAGGAAATTTTAAAAAAAGACCTGATTCGAAATAAAAGGTTTCAACTTCTCAGAGCCGCCTCCTTCGTTCTTTTCGTGGTAATCAATTGTTGATAACATGTCAATCAAAGAAATGTTTTTCATTTAGGCACAAAAGAGTTTTTTTCTTCTTTTTTCACGTGAGACAACCTTCTGTTGTTAGAACACTTCAGTGCAGTTCGACCAATCACGCACTGTTAGTAACATCAACATTCAGTAATTTGGCAGTGTATACTGGTCTAGTGGTAGGGGAATAAACAGGAACGCCTTCTATTTTTACTTTACGGCAAATGGCTTTAACCTCGCTCCATTCTTGATTTTTACACAAGGAATCCTGTACCGGTTTGCTTATAAACGAAGGCAACCCTCAATTCCCGATCAAGAAAAACAAGATTCAGAACCTTTAGTCCCGATTTTCATCTTGAGATCCTAATGTGAGCAGATGCACATACACTTCAAACATTGAATAGACCCACCCTAGTCTGATTACACCTAGATTGACATGATGCTGACAAGTAAAGCTTGTTGTTAAAAGGAAGGAACAGAATAAAAACTGCGTCATCAGGTTGAAATATCCCAATAGATGGGTTGACAATGTTGTAAAAGTTTCTAAGTGATGCTTCTAAGAGTTTAATTTCCTGTTCCTGAAACAGTGGTCTTATATGAGTAGCTGCGACTCTTCCCTTCAAGAGAAACTACGGCTAGGGATTAGAAACCATCTTTTGGGTAAAATAACTTGTATTAGTCAGTCATTGTGATTTTACGGAACTGCAAAAGATTTGAGTCAAGAGAAAAGATGCAATTATGTCAAAAATTGTGGTCACAAAATTTCGCGAAGGAATATTAAAAAGCATGATTTGTGGCTTCTTAGTACATGCCACAATATTTACACCGCCTGTAATACGCAGATGTATTTGATTCTAAATTTTGATTCACAGGAGGGCCGAGTTCATGTAAAAGGTGAATTACGGTGAACCCGAGAAAAGACGACTGCGTTTGTTAGCTGGAAGGTTACTTAAAACTAACATCTTTTGCTAAAACGAGGTAGGCTGAGTGAAACCGGAGGCCGATCAGTTAATATTCGGAATGAAAATGTGGCGGAAGTAAATCCTGTGCAGATGGAAACAAAAAAGGTAAATCCATTTGTTATTTGAAAATTTTCTTGGTCATAGTTTTCTCCTCTGGGTTTGATGGACTCTCAATCTTCTGGAAATACTAGTGTCGATACCTTTAGGGTGCAGAGTAACGTTTTTTATAAACCTTGGCATGTGAGTCGTAATACCTTGACAAAGGCTTGCTTAAGGAAAGTGCCTTTCATCGATGGATACTGTGAAACAGGATGACATGAACAATTCGTCAGCGAGTTGTTTTTGTAAACTCCGTGACATGTTTGATCAGCGATGCTTAATGTACACTGAAACAGGATGACAAGAACAACTTTGAAGCGAATTGCTAGTACACTCACATGTTTTATCAGTGCATAATGGACACGTGAGACAGGTTTACAAGAACGTACATCTCTTGATACCCGTGCTATACAAATAAGATGGTGATATATGTACTAACACTATATTATTTATTTTTAACCAACAGGAAAGACATCCGAGCAAGTATAATGACCAGACTCACTGTGGGTTTTCCTTGGTTTTTAAAAAGAGTCTTTAAAAAAAAATCAGCAAAGGAACACTGTAGAACATAACTGAAGGAACGTTGTATTTCAAGCCGGCTGAAAATGAGGGGAAACTTCTCTAACGACAGAAACCTCAGCCCAATTGAAGATTTATTCTGCGTGCCTGGTCTAGACAGTCATGTAGATACATTTCTGTCAGCATTGAATATTCTTCTATCCATCACTGCATTTCTGGAGAATGTCCTGATCATTGTTGCTTTTAAAAAGGTGTCGTCTCTTCATCCGCCATCGAAACTATTGCTAGGTTGCCTGGCGACCACTGACCTCTGTGTGGGCCTCATCACGCAGCCTATCTACGCATACGGTCTGTTGTCTCCAGAACATTCCAAACGTTGTTCCCATTCTGCCATCCTTTCTAAGACGATAGGTGTAATTTTTTGCGGCGTGTCTTTGCTTACACTGACCACAATAAGTGTAGACAGACTTCTTGCCCTATTGTTAGGGCTAAGGTACCGACAAGTGGTAACTTTGCGACGAATATGGGCCCTCGTTGTTAGTTTTTGGCTTGCTAGCACTGCCTCCGCAATATTATCACATTATTTCTACGGTGTTGCTTTGGCCATTATGTGCATAGCAATGTCATTATGTACAATAACCTCAACCTTTTGTTACATGAAAATCTATCTTAATCTTCGTCATCGCCAAACTGCAGTTCAAGACCATGTTCAACAAAGACAACCGAACGGAGGGCGGCGTTCACTGAACACAGCACGTTACAGAAGAACAGTGACCAGCGCACTGTGGGTGCAGATAACATTTTTGACTTGTTATACTCCATTTGGTGTAGTCGCAGCTATATTTGTAGCTACTGGATTACGCACGCCATCTCTTGTCCTCGCTTGGGATGTAACAGATACTCTTCTCATGTTTAACTCTTCTTTGAATCCACTTCTGTATTGTTGGAAGATGAGAGACGTGAGGCAAGCCGTTAAGGAAACGATCAAGCAGTTGAATTGCTTCTCTGGTTAATCGCCTTTTGGACCCGAAGGCCTATCGCTTATAGATATCTAGCCAGTTATCAGCGTATGCCTTTTATTCAAAATACGGTACTGAAACCATGCGCAGTTAGGAACGAAGGTAGGGCATCGGAAAGAGAGACAACTCGAGGGAAAGATGACTTGTTCCTTGTCTGACTGATTTATTCATCTTTTTTGTTCGCAATTGTCTTCCCTCTCAGAAGACGTATGGATCGCGTGTGACCTCCCCGCTGCCACCTTGCTATGAAGCACCGTGTTGGGTTGACTCCATAATGATAACCATGTACAAGGTAGCTATTAGAAAAAACGAAGATTCCTGCAGAAGTAAGGTGATTTAACTGTTTACTAGGACACCAGTTTTCGTGTTATTGCCGAGAAGCTAAGTCTGTTCAGTGCTAAACTATTAAGTTTGTCTTGAGTTGACATTGAGTGACATTGAGTTATGGTGACTTTTAGCTCGTACTATTTCTTTTATTACCATCTTCCATAATCATATGTTTACAATAAGGACATTAAATTAAGAAACTATTTAACTATTTATTTAAGTAATTAAGCCGTAAAAAACTGACTTAAATTATAGTTGGTTCACAAAGTTCTTGTTCAATTGCAAGAAATAATAGTGTTTTTACAATCACATGTTTACAACAAATATATATATCAAACATTTAAAAAAGACGACACACCTTCTAAATTTGCAACACATGTTTCGGATACTCTGTATCCATCTTTAGTTAAAGGATGTTTACAAGTGAGTGACTTTATATAAAGTAGATAGGTGTAAATTACAAAATGTAGAATAATAGTTAGAAATCAGTGAAAAAGATACATAATACTTAAGGGCCAGTACAACAGAGTGAAAGAATAAAAAGGTGCAAAACTGTGAAAAATGCTGACTACAAAAAGTAATTAAAGTAAGAGTGTTAAATTAACATGTTTGAGTTGTTTATTCAATGCGGGTCGTTCCCATTCAATATGAAGGGTTTCTTTGATCTTAAGTTGGAAATTAGTAAGAGCCGAGTCTAAGATGGAAAAACAATTAAAGGAGCATAGACTCTTACATGACTCAGAACCTTGAAGATGTTTATAGATATGGGAATTGCGATCCGAGAGTAAGTGCTCACGAACCCTGGTGCCGAAATGTCTAGTGGTTTCACCGACATAACAGGTATGACATCCTACACATGTAAATTTGTAAACCACCTAAAAAGAGTCAGTCACCAACCTCTCCTCTTGCCAGCTCTCTTCCGAGGAACTGGACGCACTGAAAAATGGTTTGACCCATTCAATCTGCCCTCCACATCTTCGCAAGTCTGACATTTATACATGCTTTGAACTCATTCATATCAGCTGGATTTCTTTTTGCGAGAAAATAGGTAGANTAGGGATTAGAAACCATCTTTTGGGTAAAATAACTTGTATTAGTCAGTCATTGTGATTTTACGGAACTGCAAAAGATTTGAGTCAAGAGAAAAGATGGAATGATGTCAAATTTTGTGGTTACAAAATTTCGCGAAGGAATATTAAAAAGCATGATTTGTGGCTTCTTAGTACATGCCACAATATTTACACCGCCGGTAATACGTATATGTATTTGATTCTAGATTTCAATTCACAGGAGGGTCAAGTTCAAGTAAAAGGTGAATTACGGTGAACCCGAGAGGAAATGATTGCGTTTGTTAGCTGAAAGGTTACTTAAAACTGACTTCTTTTGCTAAAACGAGGAATAATAAGTTGAGTGAAACAGGAGGCCGATCAGTTAATATTCGGAATGAAAATGTGGCGGAAGTAAATCCTGTGCAGATGGAAACAAAAAAGGTAAACCCATTTGTTATTTGAAAATTTTTGCATAAGTGCATTTCTTGGTCATAGTTTTCTCCTCTGGGTTTGATGGGCTCTCAATCTTCTGGAAATACTAGTGTCGATATCCTTAGGCTACAGAGTAAGGTTTTTATAAACCTTGGCATGTGAGTCGTATTACCTTGACAAAGGCCTGCTTAAGGAAAGCGAAATGCTCTTAAAAGTTTGTTGATCAGTGCCTTCATCAATGGATACTGTGAAACAGGATGACATGAACAATTCGTCAGCGATTTCTTTTTGTAAACTCACATGTTTGATCAGCGGTGCTTAATGTACACTAAAACAGGATGGCAAGAACATCTTTGATGTCAATCACATGTTTTATCAGTGCATAATGGACACGCCAAACAGGTTGACAAGATCGTACATCTCTTGATACCCGTGCTATGCAAATAAGATGGTGATATATGTACTAAGACTATATCATTCTTTTTTTTAACCAACGGAAAAGGCATCCGAGCAAGTATAATGACCCGATTCAAAGTAGGTTTTCACTGGTTTTTGAAAAGAGTCTTTAAAAAATCAATTAACGAACACTGTAGAACATAACTCGCATTCGAAGTCGTAAGGCAAAAGCGAAACTCACAAGGTTGAATGTGTGATTCATTAATGCACAATTTTGCGCCAAACATTAGGATTGTTCTTTCTACAAAGGAAATTTTAAAAAAAGACCTGATTCGAAATAAAAGGTTTCAACTTCTCAGAGCCGCCTCCTTCGTTCTTTTCGTGGTAATCAATTGTTGATAACATGTCAATCAAAGAAATGTTTTTCATTTAGGCACAAAAGAGTTTTTTTCTTCTTTTTTCACGTGAGACAACCTTCTGTTGTTAGAACACTTCAGTGCAGTTCGACCAATCACGCATTGTTAGTAACATCAACATTCAGTAATTTGGCAGTGTATACTGGTCTAGTGGTAGGGGAATAAACAGGAACGCCTTCTATTTTTACTTTACGGCAAATGGCTTTAACCTCGCTCCATTCTTGATTTTTGCACAAGGAATCCTGTACCAGTTTGCTTATAAACGAAGGCAACCCTCAATTCCCGATCAAGAAAAACAAGATTCAGAACCTTTAGTCCCGATTTTCATCTTGAGATCCTAATGTGAGCAGATGCACATACACTTCAAACATTGAATAGACCCACCCTAGTCTGATTACACCTAGATTGACATGATGCTGACAAGTAAAGCTTGTTGTTAAAAGGAAGGAACAGAATAAAAACTGCGTCATCAGGTTGAAATATCCCAATAGATGGGTTGACAATGTTGTAAAAGTTTCTAAGTGATGCTTCTAAGAGTTTAATTTCCTGTTCCTGAAACAGTGGTCTTATATGAGTAGCTGCGACTCTTCCCTTCAAGAGAAACTACGGCTAGGGATTAGAAACCATCTTTTGGGTAAAATAACTTGTATTAGTCAGTCATTGTGATTTTACGGAACTGCAAAAGATTTGAGTCAAGAGAAAAGATGCAATTATGTCAAAAATTGTGGTCACAAAATTTCGCGAAGGAATATTAAAAAGCATGATTTGTGGCTTCTTAGTACATGCCACAATATTTACACCGCCGATAATACGTATATGTATTTGATTCTAGATTTCAATTCACAGGAGGGTCAAGTTCAAGTAAAAGGTGAATTACGGTGAACCCGAGAGGAAATGATTGCGTTTGTTAGCTGAAAGGTTACTTAAAACTGACTTCTTTTGCTAAAACGAGGAATAATAAGTTGAGTGAAACAGGAGGCCGATCAGTTAATATTCGGAATGAAAATGTGGCGGAAGTAAATCCTGTGCAGATGGAAACAAAAAAGGTAAACCCATTTGTTATTTGAAAATTTTTGCATAAGTGCATTTCTTGGTCATAGTTTTCTCCTCTGGGTTTGATGGGCTCTCAATCTTCTGGAAATACTAGTGTCGATATCCTTAGGCTACAGAGTAAGGTTTTTATAAACCTTGGCATGTGAGTCGTATTACCTTGACAAAGGCCTGCTTAAGGAAAGCGAAATGCTCTTAAAAGTTTGTTGATCAGTGCCTTCATCAATGGATACTGTGAAACAGGATGACATGAACAATTCGTCAGCGATTTCTTTTTGTAAACTCACATGTTTGATCAGCGGTGCTTAATGTACACTAAAACAGGATGGCAAGAACATCTTTGATGTCAATCACATGTTTTATCAGTGCATAATGGACACGCCAAACAGGTTGACAAGATCGTACATCTCTTGATACCCGTGCTATGCAAATAAGATGGTGATATATGTACTAAGACTATATCATTCTTTTTTTTAACCAACGGAAAAGGCATCCGAGCAAGTATAATGACCCGATTCAAAGTAGGTTTTCACTGGTTTTTGAAAAGAGTCTTTAAAAAATCAATTAACGAACACTGTAGAACATAACTCGCATTCGAAGTCGTAAGGCAAAAGCGAAACTCACAAGGTTGAATGTGTGATTCATTAATGCACAATTTTGCGCCAAACATTAGGATTGTTCTTTCTACAAAGGAAATTTTAAAAAAAGACCTGATTCGAAATAAAAGGTTTCAACTTCTCAGAGCCGCCTCCTTCGTTCTTTTCGTGGTAATCAATTGTTGATAACATGTCAATCAAAGAAATGTTTTTCATTTAGGCACAAAAGAGTTTTTTTCTTCTTTTTTCACGTGAGACAACCTTCTGTTGTTAGAACACTTCAGTGCAGTTCGACCAATCACGCACTGTTAGTAACATCAACATTCAGTAATTTGGCAGTGTATACTGGTCTAGTGGTAGGGGAATAAACAGGAACGCCTTCTATTTTTACTTTACGGCAAATGGCTTTAACCTCGCTCCATTCTTGATTTTTACACAAGGAATCCTGTACCGGTTTGCTTATAAACGAAGGCAACCCTCAATTCCCGATCAAGAAAAACAAGATTCAGAACCTTTAGTCCCGATTTTCATCTTGAGATCCTAATGTGAGCAGATGCACATACACTTCAAACATTGAATAGACCCACCCTAGTCTGATTACACCTAGATTGACATGATGCTGACAAGTAAAGCTTGTTGTTAAAAGGAAGGAACAGAATAAAAACTGCGTCATCAGGTTGAAATATCCCAATAGATGGGTTGACAATGTTGTAAAAGTTTCTAAGTGATGCTTCTAAGAGTTTAATTTCCTGTTCCTGAAACAGTGGTCTTATATGAGTAGCTGCGACTCTTCCCTTCAAGAGAAACTACGGCTAGGGATTAGAAACCATCTTTTGGGTAAAATAACTTGTATTAGTCAGTCATTGTGATTTTACGGAACTGCAAAAGATTTGAGTCAAGAGAAAAGATGCAATTATGTCAAAAATTGTGGTCACAAAATTTCGCGAAGGAATATTAAAAAGCATGATTTGTGGCTTCTTAGTACATGCCACAATATTTACACCGCCGATAATACGTATATGTATTTGATTCTAGATTTCAATTCACAGGAGGGTCAAGTTCAAGTAAAAGGTGAATTACGGTGAACCCGAGAGGAAATGATTGCGTTTGTTAGCTGAAAGGTTACTTAAAACTGACTTCTTTTGCTAAAACGAGGAATAATAAGTTGAGTGAAACAGGAGGCCGATCAGTTAATATTCGGAATGAAAATGTGGCGGAAGTAAATCCTGTGCAGATGGAAACAAAAAAGGTAAACCCATTTGTTATTTGAAAATTTTTGCATAAGTGCATTTCTTGGTCATAGTTTTCTCCTCTGGGTTTGATGGGCTCTCAATCTTCTGGAAATACTAGTGTCGATATCCTTAGGCTACAGAGTAAGGTTTTTATAAACCTTGGCATGTGAGTCGTATTACCTTGACAAAGGCCTGCTTAAGGAAAGCGAAATGCTCTTAAAAGTTTGTTGATCAGTGCCTTCATCAATGGATACTGTGAAACAGGATGACATGAACAATTCGTCAGCGATTTCTTTTTGTAAACTCACATGTTTGATCAGCGGTGCTTAATGTACACTAAAACAGGATGGCAAGAACATCTTTGATGTCAATCACATGTTTTATCAGTGCATAATGGACACGCCAAACAGGTTGACAAGATCGTACATCTCTTGATACCCGTGCTATGCAAATAAGATGGTGATATATGTACTAAGACTATATCATTCTTTTTTTTAACCAACGGAAAAGGCATCCGAGCAAGTATAATGACCCGATTCAAAGTAGGTTTTCACTGGTTTTTGAAAAGAGTCTTTAAAAAATCAATTAACGAACACTGTAGAACATAACTCGCATTCGAAGTCGTAAGGCAAAAGCGAAACTCACAAGGTTGAATGTGTGATTCATTAATGCACAATTTTGCGCCAAACATTAGGATTGTTCTTTCTACAAAGGAAATTTTAAAAAAAGACCTGATTCGAAATAAAAGGTTTCAACTTCTCAGAGCCGCCTCCTTCGTTCTTTTCGTGGTAATCAATTGTTGATAACATGTCAATCAAAGAAATGTTTTTCATTTAGGCACAAAAGAGTTTTTTTCTTCTTTTTTCACGTGAGACAACCTTCTGTTGTTAGAACACTTCAGTGCAGTTCGACCAATCACGCACTGTTAGTAACATCAACATTCAGTAATTTGGCAGTGTATACTGGTCTAGTGGTAGGGGAATAAACAGGAACGCCTTCTATTTTTACTTTACGGCAAATGGCTTTAACCTCGCTCCATTCTTGATTTTTACACAAGGAATCCTGTACCGGTTTGCTTATAAACGAAGGCAACCCTCAATTCCCGATCAAGAAAAACAAGATTCAGAACCTTTAGTCCCGATTTTCATCTTGAGATCCTAATGTGAGCAGATGCACATACACTTCAAACATTGAATAGACCCACCCTAGTCTGATTACACCTAGATTGACATGATGCTGACAAGTAAAGCTTGTTGTTAAAAGGAAGGAACAGAATAAAAACTGCGTCATCAGGTTGAAATATCCCAATAGATGGGTTGACAATGTTGTAAAAGTTTCTAAGTGATGCTTCTAAGAGTTTAATTTCCTGTTCCTGAAACAGTGGTCTTATATGAGTAGCTGCGACTCTTCCCTTCAAGAGAAACTACGGCTAGGGATTAGAAACCATCTTTTGGGTAAAATAACTTGTATTAGTCAGTCATTGTGATTTTACGGAACTGCAAAAGATTTGAGTCAAGAGAAAAGATGCAATTATGTCAAAAATTGTGGTCACAAAATTTCGCGAAGGAATATTAAAAAGCATGATTTGTGGCTTCTTAGTACATGCCACAATATTTACACCGCCTGTAATACGCAGATGTATTTGATTCTAAATTTTGATTCACAGGAGGGCCGAGTTCATGTAAAAGGTGAATTACGGTGAACCCGAGAAAAGACGACTGCGTTTGTTAGCTGGAAGGTTACTTAAAACTAACATCTTTTGCTAAAACGAGGTAGGCTGAGTGAAACCGGAGGCCGATCAGTTAATATTCGGAATGAAAATGTGGCGGAAGTAAATCCTGTGCAGATGGAAACAAAAAAGGTAAATCCATTTGTTATTTGAAAATTTTCTTGGTCATAGTTTTCTCCTCTGGGTTTGATGGACTCTCAATCTTCTGGAAATACTAGTGTCGATACCTTTAGGGTGCAGAGTAACGTTTTTTATAAACCTTGGCATGTGAGTCGTAATACCTTGACAAAGGCTTGCTTAAGGAAAGTGCCTTTCATCGATGGATACTGTGAAACAGGATGACATGAACAATTCGTCAGCGAGTTGTTTTTGTAAACTCCGTGACATGTTTGATCAGCGATGCTTAATGTACACTGAAACAGGATGACAAGAACAACTTTGAAGCGAATTGCTAGTACACTCACATGTTTTATCAGTGCATAATGGACACGTGAGACAGGTTTACAAGAACGTACATCTCTTGATACCCGTGCTATACAAATAAGATGGTGATATATGTACTAACACTATATTATTTATTTTTAACCAACAGGAAAGACATCCGAGCAAGTATAATGACCAGACTCACTGTGGGTTTTCCTTGGTTTTTAAAAAGAGTCTTTAAAAAAAAATCAGCAAAGGAACACTGTAGAACATAACTGAAGGAACGTTGTATTTCAAGCCGGCTGAAAATGAGGGGAAACTTCTCTAACGACAGAAACCTCAGCCCAATTGAAGATTTATTCTGCGTGCCTGGTCTAGACAGTCATGTAGATACATTTCTGTCAGCATTGAATATTCTTCTATCCATCACTGCATTTCTGGAGAATGTCCTGATCATTGTTGCTTTTAAAAAGGTGTCGTCTCTTCATCCGCCATCGAAACTATTGCTAGGTTGCCTGGCGACCACTGACCTCTGTGTGGGCCTCATCACGCAGCCTATCTACGCATACGGTCTGTTGTCTCCAGAACATTCCAAACGTTGTTCCCATTCTGCCATCCTTTCTAAGACGATAGGTGTAATTTTTTGCGGCGTGTCTTTGCTTACACTGACCACAATAAGTGTAGACAGACTTCTTGCCCTATTGTTAGGGCTAAGGTACCGACAAGTGGTAACTTTGCGACGAATATGGGCCCTCGTTGTTAGTTTTTGGCTTGCTAGCACTGCCTCCGCAATATTATCACATTATTTCTACGGTGTTGCTTTGGCCATTATGTGCATAGCAATGTCATTATGTACAATAACCTCAACCTTTTGTTACATGAAAATCTATCTTAATCTTCGTCATCGCCAAACTGCAGTTCAAGACCATGTTCAACAAAGACAACCGAACGGAGGGCGGCGTTCACTGAACACAGCACGTTACAGAAGAACAGTGACCAGCGCACTGTGGGTGCAGATAACATTTTTGACTTGTTATACTCCATTTGGTGTAGTCGCAGCTATATTTGTAGCTACTGGATTACGCACGCCATCTCTTGTCCTCGCTTGGGATGTAACAGATACTCTTCTCATGTTTAACTCTTCTTTGAATCCACTTCTGTATTGTTGGAAGATGAGAGACGTGAGGCAAGCCGTTAAGGAAACGATCAAGCAGTTGAATTGCTTCTCTGGTTAATCGCCTTTTGGACCCGAAGGCCTATCGCTTATAGATATCTAGCCAGTTATCAGCGTNTAGGGATTAGAAACCATCTTTTGGGTAAAATAACTTGTATTAGTCAGTCATTGTGATTTTACGGAACTGCAAAAGATTTGAGTCAAGAGAAAAGATGGAATGATGTCAAATTTTGTGGTTACAAAATTTCGCGAAGGAATATTAAAAAGCATGATTTGTGGCTTCTTAGTACATGCCACAATATTTACACCGCCGGTAATACGTATATGTATTTGATTCTAGATTTCAATTCACAGGAGGGTCAAGTTCAAGTAAAAGGTGAATTACGGTGAACCCGAGAGGAAATGATTGCGTTTGTTAGCTGAAAGGTTACTTAAAACTGACTTCTTTTGCTAAAACGAGGAATAATAAGTTGAGTGAAACAGGAGGCCGATCAGTTAATATTCGGAATGAAAATGTGGCGGAAGTAAATCCTGTGCAGATGGAAACAAAAAAGGTAAACCCATTTGTTATTTGAAAATTTTTGCATAAGTGCATTTCTTGGTCATAGTTTTCTCCTCTGGGTTTGATGGGCTCTCAATCTTCTGGAAATACTAGTGTCGATATCCTTAGGCTACAGAGTAAGGTTTTTATAAACCTTGGCATGTGAGTCGTATTACCTTGACAAAGGCCTGCTTAAGGAAAGCGAAATGCTCTTAAAAGTTTGTTGATCAGTGCCTTCATCAATGGATACTGTGAAACAGGATGACATGAACAATTCGTCAGCGATTTCTTTTTGTAAACTCACATGTTTGATCAGCGGTGCTTAATGTACACTAAAACAGGATGGCAAGAACATCTTTGATGTCAATCACATGTTTTATCAGTGCATAATGGACACGCCAAACAGGTTGACAAGATCGTACATCTCTTGATACCCGTGCTATGCAAATAAGATGGTGATATATGTACTAAGACTATATCATTCTTTTTTTTAACCAACGGAAAAGGCATCCGAGCAAGTATAATGACCCGATTCAAAGTAGGTTTTCACTGGTTTTTGAAAAGAGTCTTTAAAAAATCAATTAACGAACACTGTAGAACATAACTCGCATTCGAAGTCGTAAGGCAAAAGCGAAACTCACAAGGTTGAATGTGTGATTCATTAATGCACAATTTTGCGCCAAACATTAGGATTGTTCTTTCTACAAAGGAAATTTTAAAAAAAGACCTGATTCGAAATAAAAGGTTTCAACTTCTCAGAGCCGCCTCCTTCGTTCTTTTCGTGGTAATCAATTGTTGATAACATGTCAATCAAAGAAATGTTTTTCATTTAGGCACAAAAGAGTTTTTTTCTTCTTTTTTCACGTGAGACAACCTTCTGTTGTTAGAACACTTCAGTGCAGTTCGACCAATCACGCATTGTTAGTAACATCAACATTCAGTAATTTGGCAGTGTATACTGGTCTAGTGGTAGGGGAATAAACAGGAACGCCTTCTATTTTTACTTTACGGCAAATGGCTTTAACCTCGCTCCATTCTTGATTTTTGCACAAGGAATCCTGTACCAGTTTGCTTATAAACGAAGGCAACCCTCAATTCCCGATCAAGAAAAACAAGATTCAGAACCTTTAGTCCCGATTTTCATCTTGAGATCCTAATGTGAGCAGATGCACATACACTTCAAACATTGAATAGACCCACCCTAGTCTGATTACACCTAGATTGACATGATGCTGACAAGTAAAGCTTGTTGTTAAAAGGAAGGAACAGAATAAAAACTGCGTCATCAGGTTGAAATATCCCAATAGATGGGTTGACAATGTTGTAAAAGTTTCTAAGTGATGCTTCTAAGAGTTTAATTTCCTGTTCCTGAAACAGTGGTCTTATATGAGTAGCTGCGACTCTTCCCTTCAAGAGAAACTACGGCTAGGGATTAGAAACCATCTTTTGGGTAAAATAACTTGTATTAGTCAGTCATTGTGATTTTACGGAACTGCAAAAGATTTGAGTCAAGAGAAAAGATGCAATTATGTCAAAAATTGTGGTCACAAAATTTCGCGAAGGAATATTAAAAAGCATGATTTGTGGCTTCTTAGTACATGCCACAATATTTACACCGCCGATAATACGTATATGTATTTGATTCTAGATTTCAATTCACAGGAGGGTCAAGTTCAAGTAAAAGGTGAATTACGGTGAACCCGAGAGGAAATGATTGCGTTTGTTAGCTGAAAGGTTACTTAAAACTGACTTCTTTTGCTAAAACGAGGAATAATAAGTTGAGTGAAACAGGAGGCCGATCAGTTAATATTCGGAATGAAAATGTGGCGGAAGTAAATCCTGTGCAGATGGAAACAAAAAAGGTAAATCCATTTGTTATTTGAAAATTTTCTTGGTCATAGTTTTCTCCTCTGGGTTTGATGGACTCTCAATCTTCTGGAAATACTAGTGTCGATACCTTTAGGGTGCAGAGTAACGTTTTTTATAAACCTTGGCATGTGAGTCGTAATACCTTGACAAAGGCTTGCTTAAGGAAAGTGCCTTTCATCGATGGATACTGTGAAACAGGATGACATGAACAATTCGTCAGCGAGTTGTTTTTGTAAACTCCGTGACATGTTTGATCAGCGATGCTTAATGTACACTGAAACAGGATGACAAGAACAACTTTGAAGCGAATTGCTAGTACACTCACATGTTTTATCAGTGCATAATGGACACGTGAGACAGGTTTACAAGAACGTACATCTCTTGATACCCGTGCTATACAAATAAGATGGTGATATATGTACTAACACTATATTATTTATTTTTAACCAACAGGAAAGACATCCGAGCAAGTATAATGACCAGACTCACTGTGGGTTTTCCTTGGTTTTTAAAAAGAGTCTTTAAAAAAAATCAGCAAAGGAACACTGTAGAACATAACTGAAGGAACGTTGTATTTCAAGCCGGCTGAAAATGAGGAGAAACTTCTCTAACGACAGAAACCTCAGCCCAATTGAAGATTTATTCTGCGTGCCTGGTCTAGACAGTCATGTAGATACATTTCTGTCAGCATTGAATATTCTTCTATCCATCACTGCATTTCTGGAGAATGTCCTGATCATTGTTGCTTTTAAAAAGGTGTCGTCTCTTCATCCGCCATCGAAACTATTGCTAGGTTGCCTGGCGACCACTGACCTCTGTGTGGGCCTCATCACGCAGCCTATCTACGCATACGGTCTGTTGTCTCCAGAACATTCCAAACGTTGTTCCCATTCTGCCATCCTTTCTAAGACGATAGGTGTAATTTTTTGCGGCGTGTCTTTGCTTACACTGACCACAATAAGTGTAGACAGACTTCTTGCCCTATTGTTAGGGCTAAGGTACCGACAAGTGGTAACTTTGCGACGAATATGGGCCCTCGTTGTTAGTTTTTGGCTTGCTAGCACTGCCTCCGCAATATTATCACATTATTTCTACGGTGTTGCTTTGGCCATTATGTGCATAGCAATGTCATTATGTACAATAACCTCAACCTTTTGTTACATGAAAATCTATCTTAATCTTCGTCATCGCCAAACTGCAGTTCAAGACCATGTTCAACAAAGACAACCGAACGGAGGGCGGCGTTCACTGAACACAGCACGTTACAGAAGAACAGTGACCAGCGCACTGTGGGTGCAGATAACATTTTTGACTTGTTATACTCCATTTGGTGTAGTCGCAGCTATATTTGTAGCTACTGGATTACGCACGCCATCTCTTGTCCTCGCTTGGGATGTAACAGATACTCTTCTCATGTTTAACTCTTCTTTGAATCCACTTCTGTATTGTTGGAAGATGAGAGACGTGAGGCAAGCCGTTAAGGAAACGATCAAGCAGTTGAATTGCTTCTCTGGTTAATCGCCTTTTGGACCCGAAGGCCTATCGCTTATAGATATCTAGCCAGTTATCAGCGTATGCCTTTTATTCAAAATACGGTACTGAAACCATGCGCAGTTAGGAACGAAGGTAGGGCATCGGAAAGAGAGACAACTCGAGGGAAAGATGACTTGTTCCTTGTCTGACTGATTTATTCATCTTTTTTGTTCGCAATTGTCTTCCCTCTCAGAAGACGTATGGATCGCGTGTGACCTCCCCGCTGCCACCTTGCTATGAAGCACCGTGTTGGGTTGACTCCATAATGATAACCATGTACAAGGTAGCTATTAGAAAAAACGAAGATTCCTGCAGAAGTAAGGTGATTTAACTGTTTACTAGGACACCAGTTTTCGTGTTATTGCCGAGAAGCTAAGTCTGTTCAGTGCTAAACTATTAAGTTTGTCTTGAGTTGACATTGAGTGACATTGAGTTATGGTGACTTTTAGCTCGTACTATTTCTTTTATTACCATCTTCCATAATCATATGTTTACAATAAGGACATTAAATTAAGAAACTATTTAACTATTTATTTAAGTAATTAAGCCGTAAAAAACTGACTTAAATTATAGTTGGTTCACAAAGTTCTTGTTCAATTGCAAGAAATAATAGTGTTTTTACAATCACATGTTTACAACAAATATATATATCAAACATTTAAAAAAGACGACACACCTTCTAAATTTGCAACACATGTTTCGGATACTCTGTATCCATCTTTAGTTAAAGGATGTTTACAAGTGAGTGACTTTATATAAAGTAGATAGGTGTAAATTACAAAATGTAGAATAATAGTTAGAAATCAGTGAAAAAGATACATAATACTTAAGGGCCAGTACAACAGAGTGAAAGAATAAAAAGGTGCAAAACTGTGAAAAATGCTGACTACAAAAAGTAATTAAAGTAAGAGTGTTAAATTAACATGTTTGAGTTGTTTATTCAATGCGGGTCGTTCCCATTCAATATGAAGGGTTTCTTTGATCTTAAGTTGGAAATTAGTAAGAGCCGAGTCTAAGATGGAAAAACAATTAAAGGAGCATAGACTCTTACATGACTCAGAACCTTGAAGATGTTTATAGATATGGGAATTGCGATCCGAGAGTAAGTGCTCACGAACCCTGGTGCCGAAATGTCTAGTGGTTTCACCGACATAACAGGTATGACATCCTACACATGTAAATTTGTAAACCACCTAAAAAGAGTCAGTCACCAACCTCTCCTCTTGCCAGCTCTCTTCCGAGGAACTGGACGCACTGAAAAATGGTTTGACCCATTCAATCTGCCCTCCACATCTTCGCAAGTCTGACATTTATACATGCTTTGAACTCATTCATATCAGCTGGATTTCTTTTTGCGAGAAAATAGGTAGAATGACTTCGACAATATAACATATTCTGTTACGAAAAGGGTCGCCATGCTTTGTTCTCAATTAATCTTTCAATTGGCTAATTTTGCTCGATTGGCACGGTTCTAGAGGTCGTACTGAAAGGAATATTCATCAAATATATATAGATGGCCATTCAACAGCCAACGAAAGATTGGACTGCTAATCGTTACTTATCTTATCGCAACCCTACACTGATCAGTCTATTGGTTAAGGCGTGATGACCATTGACATTGAACGCGACTCCGGAATACGATAGGGATGATGTTGCTGTCCGGAAGAAGGGAGTCGTCTCATCATCACACCAACTGTTACATTGTTTAAAGCAACTGTTTAAAAATCCGGGTACGACAAAACCAGAGTAAAATGGAATATCACAGATTACCAGTTGATATTCATAATTTTTGTCAGCTACTCCACCCCCTATCCACAGTCCTGTCAATGGTATTCCGTAATTTTCACTGGCAACAAGAGAGGAATTGAGCTTGTGCGTGAAAAAGGCTTTATCTTCTGTTTGTTCGTCTGCAAACATGATCTCGCGAAACTGCAATTAAAGGGAAAACGTTGGATTAAAAAAAAGCAATAAGAGACTCTAAAACTAACTCTTTTTTCAGTGAATGGCGAGCAACAGCAAAATCATCATACATTGTCATCAGTTCAAAGACACTATGACTTATGCTAGTAACATGAGAGGAGAAACGTTATGAAGAGAAGAGTTATGTTGCGTAACGCAAGTAACGCATTAAATCCAAACTTTACAAAAACGCCCGCTTCCAACTAAAAGACAACGGGAAACAAAGCGAGAGCCGGCTTAGAAGAAGATGGAAATCATCTTGGCGAGTAACATTACAGGGCGTGAAGGGAAACATATTTACATATTACTTTCTTAACAAAAAGGAGCAAACGAAAGTATGCGGAGAATTTCAACGCACTTCAAAAGCAACAGGTCTTCCTTCATACTATGCTGCGCGACTGAAACCAAAGCTCTGTGTGATACATAATTCAACTCACTTGAATATAGTTACAGTCTGTTCTGTAACCGTTCGTACCATAAGGTAGATTTTTGTCAAATGTCACGTTCGTCCTCAGATTCACTTTGTCGTCGGTAGAGTAACACATTGTCCACCCGCCGCCAAATGACGTCATATCACAATAGACCAATGTGTTGTTGCCGTTCTCCGGTTGAACCTGGTACATTCCATCAGGGGCGTGTGGGAATACCGATTTAATCTCCTGGCAGCTCTTTCCTAAATCGAAAAGAGAAGAAAATGGCTGAAATGTTTGTGCCGACGACGACAATACTAATCAGGGCGAGCGTTTACACTAGCTAGAAACTTAAGTGTGACGCAAAGCTAAAACAAAGAATGAACCAACCCTAAAGGCTGGTTGTAAAGTAAGCTTGTTCTTAAAATGCTTCCGTCGTATGTAAATCAACATTAAATAAGTTTGATCACTCGTCTAAACCTCTATGTTCCATACTTTGTCCATTGATTTAACAAAAAACTGAGAATTTTATTTGAATTGCTTGCAACAAATCGATAAACATGCATGCTTACCGTTCATAGCTGAATTGCAGTAGGCGCCAGTCCATCCGCTATTACAAAGACACGTGTAGTTCAAGTCACCATTAACACACGAAGCGCCGTTCTGGCAGCGATGCCGGACGCAAAAATCTGCAACTAAGAATGGGTAATTCCCTCTATGAAACGCGTCTACAGGGAATCATGGTAGTTGTATTCATCAAAACAAATATCCAGTCCAAGATGATGAATACACCTACCATGATTCCCTGCAGGCACATCTCATAGAGGGAATGGCCATTATATATAAAGTATAATTGAAGCAATTTTCCTTCAACAAGGGAGTGAAAAGAAAAAGTTCCAAACCTTCTGTGTTCATGTCACAGTAAGCCAAGATAACCTCTCCAGAACCAGTGGCATCCAACCATGAGTTACCGCTGACCACTTGTCCTCCTTCATTTGCTTTAATTTCCTTACATGACTGAGCTGGAAGAGTGGGAATGGGACCAAGTTGCTCTGATGAGAGTAAAGAGACTTTTACTCAACAATATAATCGTTCACAGAGGAGAGGGAGCTGAGTGGTTCTGGTTAGAATGCAAAGAGTCTCCTTCAACATAAAATTTAGACTTAAATAACATCACAAATAATTCCTATTTCTAATCACAATAACTTTACTTCTGTGTGCTCCACGCTTCGTGTAGAATCGATCTGGATCTGACAAAAATTGGTCTGGTTTGGCCTCCTTGGTTCTGTTGTTCATCTCGCAGATATTTGTCTTTATAACATAATTGTAGCTCTGGCATCTGTCTTCATAATGGCAATCCACTAAACATCCAAATGAATTTGACGTCATAAGAGTCTTAAATGTGTAACCTTTCAGAGCTTTGCCATGGATTGCTTGTTGTGCGGGGCATAGGTCAGCAGTTTTACCATGACACTTGTTGGGTAACGCCAGAACAGTTAAAACTACAGAGAACAGTTTTGGACGCATTGCAGCCTGGGAACGGGCTATCTGTAAAGGAAATACATGCTTAGTTCTTGATTAACTTTCTAACTTAATACATCGTACGAATACGCAATTGGCACCTCAACAAAATTCACTTCGAGGAAACTTCGCACCAAAATCGTTCTGCTATCTGAAGTGTCTGAAGAAATAAACTTGCTTATTATATTGATAACAAAAATCAACACTTTCCAAATTCTAATTCGATCCGGAAACAGCGGGCGGAGGTGGAGGCGCCTCTCGTAACTATCACATAACAATAACTGAGTTAAATAAAGCTCAGACGAGTTTTCTACAGTTTGTCTTGAAAATAGTAAGGATAGTACGATATCTTTTTCGCGCGGAAGGGAAAACATTTTATCCCGAGCTATTGCATGCCAACATGATTCTCTCGCCAAACAAAAAGGCGAATACCTATTCCTTTGCTGTTTTCTCGGAGTCACAAATTTACAATCAAGAGCTTAAAAGCATAACGAAAAAAATGATATTTTTCATAATTATGAAGATTTCAATCAAGTGCTTAGTGAGGCTTTCTTTTTTATAAAGGCGTGTTTCGTGCTCAGCGAATGAGAAAAAGAGTGACAGAAATTGCGGTTATCTTAGGTCAAAGAAGTTAACTTGTGCCCCATGTTGCAAAATTGCTTGTTTTAGTAGTCGTGTAGCTGGTAAACAAATCCAAACAACTCTTTTCTTGCTAACTATTAAATTAGGTGAGATGTATTTCTTTCGTACCTGGTGCACTATTTCTCCTTCCCCGGTTTGAACAAAATATACTGAAATATTACTTTGGTCGATTCTTCAAAATAGAAGCAGAAATAACTCATAACAGTTACACAATACCAGACGCCTTCTCCATTAAACTATGACACTTGATGTTTTTTCAGGGCCAAACCGTTTCATTGTGTTTCTGTAATATCCGTGATGACAACCTTATTAATCATTAACAAAAGGGAAGACTTCTTTGTGCCTTATTTGAATCAATAACCGGAAGAAAAACTGAGATGATGGAGCTTCTTTGCACAAATAACGGAAGTTACATCAGTACTGGTATCAACCTCTTGCTGGTTCTTTTGACCATGCACAACTTGTTCCAGATTTTCTGTCAGTGAGGACGACCGAACAAGTGGAAAACGAGGAGGTTCTATCTTTTACTCTCTTAGAACAGACGGACCAAGCTGACCAAGCTATTTAATTGGTTTCTTCGAAGAGTTCAAATGCAGCAGTAATCTACTTAATTAGTTATGTATCAGCTGCAAAGCGATTGTAATCCTGTCAAGTGGTTCTCGTGGATTCAATTAGAACTGCGGTGCGGAAAAGTTGGCAAAAAATAACTCATAACACGTGATTCTTTCATTTGATCGCAGACAACTTTTACACATACTGCGCACGACTGGATGTGATGTCAATTTGGAAATTTCGAGTTCCCGGGTTCCGGGTTCTTTACCCCAAGTCAAATCAAAGTACCGGAGACAAGCCTTCTCTTGCAGGCACTACAAATGTTCCTGTAGTATGCAATTTACGCCGTAAGCACGAGATTAGCAATCTTGTTGCCTGGCAGATTTTACAGTTACCTTGGACTTTAAGAGGACGTATTATTTGTGAAAAAAAAACAACAAACAAGGTAGACGAAGCTGACTTGTTTCACTTTAGTTTGGTACAGACCGTTCAATTCGTGTATTCCGTATCTCGAGGGTTTAATCAGTCCAACCTCGATTAAAGTCAATTATAAAGACGAAGACGAAGACGAAGACGAAGACGAAGACGAAGACGAAGACGAAGAAGAAGAAGAAGAAGAAGAAGAAGAAGAAGAAGAAGAAGAAGAAGAAGAAGAAGAAGAAGAAGAAAAGGGATGAAGGGGCACCGCTCTGCTGGTCAACACCCACAATGGTAGTGGAACCTGTCTTTATTATATGGCCTGTGTTTGTAGCCGATATACCGCGCGCTCTGAGTGGCTAAATCCATGGCATTATTCTCCCGTAATGCCCACGGGTCGATTACGGTTCTGCAAAAAAGCCATATAACAAACAACTCTTTAGCCTCAAACGTCCTTTCTTTACGGGAAAAACTCAAACATCGGCCTTGCTGTATTTACATGGCTATCGCTCGGTCAAGGTCTCGGTCTGAGATTTTTCCCTCAAGACCTCACTCTCGCTTAATGACAACAGACACCAGTTCAATTTTCGGAGGGTTTTACCTCTTCCGACCAAACGCTCATATATTTTCGCAGATTTCCCCGCTTAATAACAGACATTAAACATCCTTCTATTCATGTCTGCTGTTTTTAAACACGTGTCAGTGACATTTATTACCAGACTGAGAGCCCTTATTGGGGTTTCATTGTCATGTCAGGTGAACCTCTGCAAGATTTTGCATCAGTCGCATTGATCGAGTTGGATGTTATGCTCATCACTAGTGTCTTCTTGAAAGCCTAGCATGACTTGTAATCGTCATCTAGCTAGATCAAAGCGGTGACTCTTATCACTGATTTACTGATCTCGTTTTAAGTTTCCTCTGTGAATTTAGTGATCCATTAAGACAATCTTATATCTCTGTGTTACTCAACTTGTTCATTTTCACCATCGCTGTGCTTGACCGTTATTTTCGTGAGAAATTACATCATTGAATTTTGCTGACGCTATTCATTTGTTGCATAGTCCCCTTCGCAACCGTTACTGCGGTCGTCACGCAACGTGAAGAGGCGTTACGTGACGACTTAGTAGCTTTAAAGCAGAAGAAAAAACAATGAACCAACTTTTTTAATTAATGCCCTCGCTTCATTTCACTTTCTTAATGTGTCTAGCCTTATGGTGTACAATAATATTGCCATCTAATCACTTAGTTTTCAACACAGTTGTTATACAGCTTTCTACATATCTTATCTCCGTGTTTCCTTTTCCTTTAACAACGTTAACTAATATACTAAATGCCTTTACTACAATTTATAGAACCCTTAATTGCTGCACCCAGAAAGCGAAAACAAAATTGACTCATTTCAGTCAGACAATCTTCCTGATTCTTGCAACCGAAAACTTTTCAGTATTTATTAGACATACAGAGCGTAAACATTACAGCAGATCCATCCTGCATTGTCGTTTTCAGTGAAGTCCACCAAATCCTCACCATACCACAGTCGCAACTCTTGGCCCGAGCTCACCGAGTAAGGAGAAAAACGCGGCAGGATAATCTCAGGAGAAAACGAGTTATATCCGGGTAACTCGAATCACAGTCTAGCACGCTGGTCCTTGAGGATCGGGCTTGGCGGCGAAATAATCGTATTTGTTGATGTTGTTATGGTTACATCAACGTAATATTTTGATGAAGGATGGCTACCACAGCCCCAGAAAGACCAGTGGGAAAAGTTCCTATTATCGCAGGTCACGTAACCGCTTAGGTGGACCAATTTTACTGCTGCTATTTGGCCACCGTAAGGGACATTGAAACTGCCATACTGGTTATCCTTTGCACCGAAACATACAGGACGTAAATTTATTTTGACCAAAGAATCTAAAAATATATCAGTGAATGAGTTAGTTAGCCAATCAGTCAATTGATATACAAAATTGCATTTACAGTCAGTGATAAAATAGTCTGTCAGCAGACAATTTTATCTTCTGCAATTTTTTTTCGTCGAGCGCGTAGTACGAGAGCGACGGGTGTCTGGAAAACCCGAATACCGAATAGCGAAAAGCGAATAGTCTCGAATAGTGCGAATAGCCTCGAATAGTGCGAATAGTGGCGAACAGTCGCGAAATACAAATAGTGACGAACAGTCGTGAATAGTCACTGCTTTAGATCTAATATCCTGCGTTAATCAATTATCCAAATAAGCAACAGAATTTCAGTGAATTTATTACCTTTTCTTCTCCGGACTCAGGCTAGGGCTGTCCATCGCCGGTATTAAGAAAACAGAAAACATAAGAATAACCTAATGAAGACCTATTTACGCTTTTGCAGCGGTTAAAACAGAAGAAATTACGTTTAGAAACACCTTTTGTCCTGATAAGCGTCCGTGCTTTTTAGAGGAAAATCCCATCCCGCGTTGCTGCGAGGTTGACTGCGAGATACTGGGTACCCTATTTGCTACGATTTGCCACTCTTTGCCACTATTTGCCACTATTCGCCACTGTTCGAGACTGTTCGCAACTATTCGCAACTATTCGCACTATTCGAGATTATTCGCACTATTCGTGCTATTCGCTATCCGGGACTATTTGCTGTTCGCTATTTGCGACTATTCGCTATTCGCTATTCGGGTTTTCCAGATACCCGAGAGCGACCGTTTCTTCCCCCAGCTCTATCCCCTTGCGTTTTGGCTCGTTCATATCCTATGGGCCGAGTTAATATTTTGCTAAATGAACTCTTGTCTTTCATTCACTGTGCAATGGCCATTTTCACAATAAACTGCGAATTTTATTTGAATTGCTCGCAACCAATCGATAAACATGCATGCTTACCGTTCATAGATAAATGGCAGTAGGTGCCAGTCCACCCGCTGTTACAAAGACACGTGTACTTCAAGTCACCACTAACACACGAAGCACCGTTCTGGCAACGATGCTGAGCACAAAAATCTGCAACTAAGAATTCTATATAAGGCAGCAATCTTCCGTAGGAAAAAACATGGCGACTGGTACATTTACCCATAGTTCTTAGCGCACGAAAACCTTAATAACGTTTATAAAAGCGTACAGAAAAGTTATAAAATCCTCAAACCTAGGCTACTCAATGTCCTTAGTGTAGGGACAAACACTGTGAAAATTTGGCTTTCTTTGTGCCTTGTAGGCTGTGTTAGGTTCGCAAGGCATTGTGGTAAAATGTACAGGCGCTATCTTTTTCCCTACGGTGGATTGAAGCAATTTGTCAGTCAAGAGTATTTCTTAAACTAGCATATACAATTAATATGTTAAATCTGTTGATGAGGTTCAAATATACACGAGGGCTAATTCCAAGAAATTGGGTCAAGATTTACGCTCAGGTATAAATGTTGTAACTTAAACTTATGTGCACTTACTTTTACACTGGGGAAGGGATGAACTCCAAACTCCTTTCCGACAGACCATTGACTTGCTACCAATCAACGTGTAGCCATTATTGCACGTGAAGCTAACCGCTTGACCGTGTTCAAAATTTGCACCTGTCCGCGCGCCATTTCGTGGAATTCCTGGATCCTTGCAATTTGCTAAAAATAATACAGCATAGAGTGGATAAATTTATGGTGAAATCATATCACAGAAATATGTCAAGGGAGACTTAAACATATGTCCCGTTTTATTTCATTGTCCCATACAAAAGGATCCATTCCTTTCAGCGTTCAAGACAATACTTAGCAATAGAGCTTATTGAAATATACTTAGACCTTCATCTTTCAACCCCTCTCATATAAACGTAGATATTATTCAACTCCTTTCAAGTTAGTCAGTCAATCATTTCTCTTGCCTGAGCATACCGCAAGTTTGTGACTCCATGCTCTGTCAAGGCAAGTCAGGCTGTCGAAGCCGATCAACTTAAAAGTTGGCTGACACACAAACGTCACTTTCTTTTCGTGGCGAAAGTCGCTGCCTATTCTGCGACTGTTTTGGGGAGTACCAGGATCAATGCAGGACTTGAAACCGATATTTAACTCATGCTTGCCTAGATTGAGAACCAGAAATGTCGAAATTTTTTGAGACATCAACGAGGAGCGGGTAAACAGAAAGGGCGAGTGAGGTTGGAAGATACCTGTATATGAACTGTAAGGCTTTAATCTGATAATAAAGTAACTGCCTAAATACATGATATTCATTCCATATTAACTTACTTTTGCACTGAGGTAGAGATGAACTCCAAACTCCGTTTCGACATTTCGCTGACTTGCTTCCAATCAGCGTGAAGCCTTTTCTGCACCAGAAGGTAACTGATTGACCGTGTTCAAAATTATTGCCTGTTCGTGCGCCATTTCGAGGAATTCCTAGATCCTTGCAGTTTGCTAAGTAACATAACATTTAGAACCGTCTTGAGTGGCGTCTAACATGTGATATAATGTACCTCTCAACGTATAAGAAATTCGACAGCTTTCGTAGCGGTTGAAATCAAATATATACATTCCTTATCGTACCAACGATATGCTTTAGAGGAAACAAATATACATATTTTATAAACGAGAAACAGCTACTTTACCTACCCCGAACCCCTTTAGAGTCAATTTAGAGACAACAACACTTTACGCACCATTTCAAAATAAATCATGGCAACAAAATCGCTTTTTAAAGACAAGTTAATAAACCTATAACAAGTACCAAAGCAGATCTTGCCATCTCCAACTGAGCCCGCATTACATGTACAAGTAAATGAGCCCACACTATTCATGCACGTAGCGTTCGTATGACAGTCCGACTGTCCCTCTGCACACTCGTCAATATCTAGAATAAAATTGAATGGAATTTCTTATTTACTTCTTGCTTTTACTATAGCCTCCTTAATACACACTCACTTGTTCAACTTGCACCGTAGGCCAATTTCTGTATATAAAGATTCTGGTCCAGCTCCAAGACTTAGGAGAATAACACAATAATAATAATAATAATTTTAGACTGAATGTGTTAGCTTTATACCTGTACACAAGGGCGCAGTTGAGTTCCAGATTCCATTGTTGCACCTCATGGTTGACGATCCTGTTAGTTTAAAGCCATGATCACAAGCAAATGTCACCTGCTCTCCGTGTCGGTTACCAGGCTTAGAATCAAGAACCCGGCCATGCAAAGGAACAACGGGGTCTGGGCATGACGCTTGAATAGGAACAACAAAGCAACAGTGTTTATTAGTTAGGCAGCAACTATCCTATGTCCGCGGTACGACAATATAATATAGATGGGTTGCAGCAGTTCAAGTTGCCATATCGATTGATCGTTCAGAAGCTTCCTTAACTGAAAAACAAGGATATGAATAAGGAGATAGACACTGTCAGCCAATCCAGAAGCCTGTGTTCCTAGTCTTAAAAGCCCGCGAAAGTTGCGATCTTCAGGTTTCTCACCCAACATTCTTCCCTAGGTCAGCAGTTGCAGTTATTATTTCTATATTTTATTACTTTTTTCTTTTTAATTTTCTTGACTGATAACTACTGTATTATTCCCTCAAAACTAACCTTTACACTCTGGTAAGTCATTATCCCATTTTCCCGCCACGCATCGTAGAACCTGCGACCCAATCAGCGTGTGGCCTGGTTGACATCCGAACGCCACAGTCTGTCCATCGAGGAAATCATTGTCGATTCTGTTTCCATTTACGGGGATCCCAGGATCCAGGCAAACAGCTTTAAACAAAATTACTGTTTAACAACTTTGTTAAGTTGAATTTATCACCAAACATCAAACTGTTTTACCTGTATACTCAGGAAGAGAAGCATTCCACTTTCCACTGATACACAATGAAAACATAATTCCCAAACAAATTATACTCAAAGCCAGTCAAAAAAAGATTTTCCGATGCTACTTGACAATTGTCGGGCGTTTAACGAGCCTAAGCCGGCTTATAAAACTAGTGCAACTTGACCTAGCCCTAGACCCTGACACGTTCCAATTTATAGTCTCCTTATAATCTCCTCGTGATCTCCTCATAGTCCCCTTATTGTTGATTCATGATCGATCATATTGTTTCAGTACTATTCGCCTCGTGGTGTGCCTCGATGTTACCTTTGCATGTGGGAACTTTGTTACTCCATGTTCCGTCGTAGCAAGTGATTCTGACAGTGCCAGTCAATTTAAAATTGGCTTGGCAAGTAAATGACACTTTCTTGCCATGCCGGAAATCCAAGCCTATTCTGCGTCCGTTTTGTGGATTGCCAGGATCGGTACAGGACTCTGAAAATTTGAAATAAGTATTAACGAGTTCAGGGTTCAGGGTTCTTAGCTAATGATTTCGAGTGCTTTTTTGTTTTGTTTTGTTTTGTTTTGTTTTGTTTTGTTTTGTTTCCCGAACAAGAGTATTTCTTGAACCATCATGTACAGATAATAGTTTCAATCGATTGGTGAGGTGCAGCTATATACGAGGGCTAATTCCAAGAAGTAAAGCCGAGTGAAGGTTTACGTTCAGGAACAAATGTTGTAACTTAAACTTATGTGCACTTACTTTTACAATGGGAAAGGGATGAACTCCAAACTCCTTTCCGACAGTCCATTGACTTGCTACCAATCAACGTGTAGCCATTATTGCACGTGAAGCTAACCGCTTGACCGTGTTCAAAATTGTCACCTGTCCGCGCGCCATTTCGTGGAATTCCTGGATCCTTGCAGTTTGCTAAAATGATAAAGCAAAGACGTTGTGGATAAACTTATGTTTGAAATCATATCATAGACATATGTCAAGGGATACTTAAACATATGTCCCACTTTATTTCATTGACCCACACAAAAGGATTCATTCCTTTCAGCTTTCAAGACAATACTTAGCAATAGGACTTATTGGAATATAGTTAGACCTTCATCTTCAACTCTTCGTCATTTTCAAACCCTCTCATATAAACGTAGATATTACTCAGCTCCCTTCAAGTTAGTCAGTCAATTATTTCCCTTACCTGAGCATACCGGAAGTTTGTGACTCCATGCTCCGTCAAGGCAAGTCAGGCTGTCGAAGCCGATCATGCTAAAAGTTGGCTGACACACAAACGTCAATTTCTTTTCGTGGCGAAAGTCGCTGCCTATTCTGCGACTGTTTTGGGGAGTACCAGGATCAATGCAGGACTTGAAACCGATATTTAACTCATGCTTGCCTAGATTGAGAACCAGAAATGTCGAAATTTTTTGAGACATCAACGAGGAGCGGGTAAACAGAAAGGGCGAGTGAGGTTGGAAGATACCTGTATATGAACTGTAAGGCTTTAATCTGATAATAAAGTAACTGCCTAAATACATGATATTCATTCCATATTAACTTACTTTTGCACTGAGGTAGAGATGAACTCCAAACTCCGTTTCGACATTTCGCTGACTTGCTTCCAATCAGCGTGAAGCCTTTTCTGCACCAGAAGGTAACTGATTGACCGTGTTCAAAATTATTGCCTGTTCGTGCGCCATTTCGAGGAATTCCTAGATCCTTGCAGTTTGCTAAGTAACATAACATTTAGAACCGTCTTGAGTGGCGTCTAACATGTGATATAATGTACCTCTCAACGTATAAGAAATTCGACAGCTTTCGTAGCGGTTGAAATCAAATATATACATTCCTTATCGTACCAACGATATGCTTTAGAGGAAACAAATATACATATTTTATAAACGAGAAACAGCTACTTTACCTACCCCGAACCCCTTTAGAGTCAATTTAGAGACAACAACACTTTACGCACCATTTCAAAATAAATCATGGCAACAAAATCGCTTTTTAAAGACAAGTTAATAAACCTATAACAAGTACCAAAGCAGATCTTGCCATCTCCAACTGAGCCCGCATTACATGTACAAGTAAATGAGCCCACACTATTCATGCACGTAGCGTTCGTATGACAGTCCGACTGTCCCTCTGCACACTCGTCAATATCTAGAATAAAATTGAATGGAATTTCTTATTTACTTCTTGCTTTTACTATAGCCTCCTTAATACACACTCACTTGTTCAACTTGCACCGTAGGCCAATTTCTGTATATAAAGATTCTGGTCCAGCTCCAAGACTTAGGAGAATAACACAATAATAATAATAATAATTTTAGACTGAATGTGTTAGCTTTATACCTGTACACAAGGGCGCAGTTGAGTTCCAGATTCCATTGTTGCACCTCATGGTTGACGATCCTGTTAGTTTAAAGCCATGATCACAAGCAAATGTCACCTGCTCTCCGTGTCGGTTACCAGGCTTAGAATCAAGAACCCGGCCATGCAAAGGAACAACGGGGTCTGGGCATGACGCTTGAATAGGAACAACAAAGCAACAGTGTTTATTAGTTAGGCAGCAACTATCCTATGTCCGCGGTACGACAATATAATATAGATGGGTTGCAGCAGTTCAAGTTGCCATATCGATTGATCGTTCAGAAGCTTCCTTAACTGAAAAACAAGGATATGAATAAGGAGATAGACACTGTCAGCCAATCCAGAAGCCTGTGTTCCTAGTCTTAAAAGCCCGCGAAAGTTGCGATCTTCAGGTTTCTCACCCAACATTCTTCCCTAGGTCAGCAGTTGCAGTTATTATTTCTATATTTTATTACTTTTTTCTTTTTAATTTTCTTGACTGATAACTACTGTATTATTCCCTCAAAACTAACCTTTACACTCTGGTAAGTCATTATCCCATTTTCCCGCCACGCATCGTAGAACCTGCGACCCAATCAGCGTGTGGCCTGGTTGACATCCGAACGCCACAGTCTGTCCATCGAGGAAATCATTGTCGATTCTGTTTCCATTTACGGGGATCCCAGGATCCAGGCAAACAGCTTTAAACAAAATTACTGTTTAACAACTTTGTTAAGTTGAATTTATCACCAAACATCAAACTGTTTTACCTGTATACTCAGGAAGAGAAGCATTCCACTTTCCACTGATACACAATGAAAACATAATTCCCAAACAAATTATACTCAAAGCCAGTCAAAAAAAGATTTTCCGATGCTACTTGACAATTGTCGGGCGTTTAACGAGCCTAAGCCGGCTTATAAAACTAGTGCAACTTGACCTAGCCCTAGACCCTGACACGTTCCAATTTATAGTCTCCTTATAATCTCCTCGTGATCTCCTCATAGTCCCCTTATTGTTGATTCATGATCGATCATATTGTTTCAGTACTATTCGCCTCGTGGTGTGCCTCGATGTTACCTTTGCATGTGGGAACTTTGTTACTCCATGTTCCGTCGTAGCAAGTGATTCTGACAGTGCCAGTCAATTTAAAATTGGCTTGGCAAGTAAATGACACTTTCTTGCCATGCCGGAAATCCAAGCCTATTCTGCGTCCGTTTTGTGGATTGCCAGGATCGGTACAGGACTCTGAAAATTTGAAATAAGTATTAACGAGTTCAGGGTTCAGGGTTCTTAGCTAATGATTTCGAGTGCTTTTTTGTTTTGTTTTGTTTTGTTTTGTTTTGTTTTGTTTTGTTTCCCGAACAAGAGTATTTCTTGAACCATCATGTACAGATAATAGTTTCAATCGATTGGTGAGGTGCAGCTATATACGAGGGCTAATTCCAAGAAGTAAAGCCGAGTGAAGGTTTACGTTCAGGAACAAATGTTGTAACTTAAACTTATGTGCACTTACTTTTACAATGGGAAAGGGATGAACTCCAAACTCCTTTCCGACAGTCCATTGACTTGCTACCAATCAACGTGTAGCCATTATTGCACGTGAAGCTAACCGCTTGACCGTGTTCAAAATTGTCACCTGTCCGCGCGCCATTTCGTGGAATTCCTGGATCCTTGCAGTTTGCTAAAATGATAAAGCAAAGACGTTGTGGATAAACTTATGTTTGAAATCATATCATAGACATATGTCAAGGGATACTTAAACATATGTCCCACTTTATTTCATTGACCCACACAAAAGGATTCATTCCTTTCAGCTTTCAAGACAATACTTAGCAATAGGACTTATTGGAATATAGTTAGACCTTCATCTTCAACTCTTCGTCATTTTCAAACCCTCTCATATAAACGTAGATATTACTCAGCTCCCTTCAAGTTAGTCAGTCAATTATTTCCCTTACCTGAGCATACCGGAAGTTTGTGACTCCATGCTCCGTCAAGGCAAGTCAGGCTGTCGAAGCCGATCATGCTAAAAGTTGGCTGACACACAAACGTCAATTTCTTTTCGTGGCGAAAGTCGCTGCCTATTCTGCGACTGTTTTGGGGAGTACCAGGATCAATGCAGGACTTGAAACCGATATTTAACTCATGCTTGCCTAGATTGAGAACCAGAAATGTCGAAATTTTTTGAGACATCAACGAGGAGCGGGTAAACAGAAAGGGCGAGTGAGGTTGGAAGATACCTGTATATGAACTGTAAGGCTTTAATCTGATAATAAAGTAACTGCCTAAATACATGATATTCATTCCATATTAACTTACTTTTGCACTGAGGTAGAGATGAACTCCAAACTCCGTTTCGACATTTCGCTGACTTGCTTCCAATCAGCGTGAAGCCTTTTCTGCACCAGAAGGTAACTGATTGACCGTGTTCAAAATTATTGCCTGTTCGTGCGCCATTTCGAGGAATTCCTAGATCCTTGCAGTTTGCTAAGTAACATAACATTTAGAACCGTCTTGAGTGGCGTCTAACATGTGATATAATGTACCTCTCAACGTATAAGAAATTCGACAGCTTTCGTAGCGGTTGAAATCAAATATATACATTCCTTATCGTACCAACGATATGCTTTAGAGGAAACAAATATACATATTTTATAAACGAGAAACAGCTACTTTACCTACCCCGAACCCCTTTAGAGTCAATTTAGAGACAACAACACTTTACGCACCATTTCAAAATAAATCATGGCAACAAAATCGCTTTTTAAAGACAAGTTAATAAACCTATAACAAGTACCAAAGCAGATCTTGCCATCTCCAACTGAGCCCGCATTACATGTACAAGTAAATGAGCCCACACTATTCATGCACGTAGCGTTCGTATGACAGTCCGACTGTCCCTCTGCACACTCGTCAATATCTAGAATAAAATTGAATGGAATTTCTTATTTACTTCTTGCTTTTACTATAGCCTCCTTAATACACACTCACTTGTTCAACTTGCACCGTAGGCCAATTTCTGTATATAAAGATTCTGGTCCAGCTCCAAGACTTAGGAGAATAACACAATAATAATAATAATAATTTTAGACTGAATGTGTTAGCTTTATACCTGTACACAAGGGCGCAGTTGAGTTCCAGATTCCATTGTTGCACCTCATGGTTGACGATCCTGTTAGTTTAAAGCCATGATCACAAGCAAATGTCACCTGCTCTCCGTGTCGGTTACCAGGCTTAGAATCAAGAACCCGGCCATGCAAAGGAACAACGGGGTCTGGGCATGACGCTTGAATAGGAACAACAAAGCAACAGTGTTTATTAGTTAGGCAGCAACTATCCTATGTCCGCGGTACGACAATATAATATAGATGGGTTGCAGCAGTTCAAGTTGCCATATCGATTGATCGTTCAGAAGCTTCCTTAACTGAAAAACAAGGATATGAATAAGGAGATAGACACTGTCAGCCAATCCAGAAGCCTGTGTTCCTAGTCTTAAAAGCCCGCGAAAGTTGCGATCTTCAGGTTTCTCACCCAACATTCTTCCCTAGGTCAGCAGTTGCAGTTATTATTTCTATATTTTATTACTTTTTTCTTTTTAATTTTCTTGACTGATAACTACTGTATTATTCCCTCAAAACTAACCTTTACACTCTGGTAAGTCATTATCCCATTTTCCCGCCACGCATCGTAGAACCTGCGACCCAATCAGCGTGTGGCCTGGTTGACATCCGAACGCCACAGTCTGTCCATCGAGGAAATCATTGTCGATTCTGTTTCCATTTACGGGGATCCCAGGATCCAGGCAAACAGCTTTAAACAAAATTACTGTTTAACAACTTTGTTAAGTTGAATTTATCACCAAACATCAAACTGTTTTACCTGTATACTCAGGAAGAGAAGCATTCCACTTTCCACTGATACACAATGAAAACATAATTCGCAAACAAATTATACTCAAAGCCAGTCAAAAAAAGATTTTCCGATGCTACTTGACAATTGTCGGGCGTTTAACGAGCCTAAGCCGGCTTATAAAACTAGTGCAACTTGACCTAGCCCTAGACCCTGACACGTTCCAATTTATAGTCTCCTTATAATCTCCTCGTGATCTCCTCATAGTCCCCTTATTGTTGATTCATGATCGATCATATTGTTTCAGTACTATTCGCCTCGTGGTGTGCCTCGATGTTACCTTTGCATGTGGGAACTTTGTTACTCCATGTTCCGTCGTAGCAAGTGATTCTGACAGTGCCAGTCAATTTAAAATTGGCTTGGCAAGTAAATGACACTTTCTTGCCATGCCGGAAATCCAAGCCTATTCTGCGTCCGTTTTGTGGATTGCCAGGATCGGTACAGGACTCTGAAAATTTGAAATAAGTATTAACGAGTTCAGGGTTCAGGGTTCTTAGCTAATGATTTCGAGTGCTTTTTTGTTTTGTTTTGTTTTGTTTTGTTTTGTTTTGTTTTGTTTTTTCTCCCGAACAAGAGTATTTCTTGAACCATCATATACAGATAATAGTTTCAATCGATTGGTGAGGTGCAGCTATATACGAGGGCTAATTCCAAGAAGTAAAGCCGAGTGAAGGTTTACGTTCAGGAACAAATGTTGTAACTTAAACTTATGTGCACTTACTTTTACAATGGGAAAGGGATGAACTCCAAACTCCTTTCCGACAGTCCATTGACTTGCTACCAATCAACGTGTAGCCATTATTGCACGTGAAGCTAACCGCTTGACCGTGTTCAAAATTGTCACCTGTCCGCGCGCCATTTCGTGGAATTCCTGGATCCTTGCAGTTTGCTAAAATGATAAAGCAAAGACGTTGTGGATAAACTTATGTTTGAAATCATATCATAGACATATGTCAAGGGATACTTAAACATATGTCCCACTTTATTTCATTGACCCACACAAAAGGATTCATTCCTTTCAGCTTTCAAGACAATACTTAGCAATAGGACTTATTGGAATATAGTTAGACCTTCATCTTCAACTCTTCGTCATTTTCAAACCCTCTCATATAAACGTAGATATTACTCAGCTCCCTTCAAGTTAGTCAGTCAATTATTTCCCTTACCTGAGCATACCGGAAGTTTGTGACTCCATGCTCCGTCAAGGCAAGTCAGGCTGTCGAAGCCGATCATGCTAAAAGTTGGCTGACACACAAACGTCAATTTCTTTTCGTGGCGAAAGTCGCTGCCTATTCTGCGACTGTTTTGGGGAGTACCAGGATCAATGCAGGACTTGAAACCGATATTTAACTCATGCTTGCCTAGATTGAGAACCAGAAATGTCGAAATTTTTTGAGACATCAACGAGGAGCGGGTAAACAGAAAGGGCGAGTGAGGTTGGAAGATACCTGTATATGAACTGTAAGGCTTTAATCTGATAATAAAGTAACTGCCTAAATACATGATATTAAGTTTCTCTCAGCTTTCTGGGTTCTTTAAAAATGTTTCCTCTAACTATAATATTCTCGGTGTCGTGTATATTGTTTCTGATTGGTAGTTGAGGCATAAAATGCATTTGCAGTATACACCAGATTCAAATTGTACTGTAACAATCGAATGAAAATTCATCCTGGAGCTGGAAGGCAAGCGGTTAGTTGTACAGTATCAAAACGGACTGTGTAAACTTTAGCCTGCGTACTAGGCGTTCATTTCCAAAAGCGCGCGAAGGGAACGAAATGCGTGCGAGTGCAAGTCCTGACTCTCCTCCTATTGTCCTCAACCCATAATTTGCTGATAGGTGACTGTGTCGTAACGCCATAGATAAGCGACCAATAGGAATTTTCCTTTTACTGTAGTCATTTTATAAGAAGTAATTTTACTCTAGCGTCCTGTCGTATTTTCCTCTTTCCCTACAATAATATTCCTCTGTAAATTTCCTGCCGCACAGCTGACAAGCACAAATTACTGGCATTGTTTGCTGGGATTATTTTTTTCTTGTCTATAGTGCAATCAAAAAAGCCACTTGCGCACGCGACAGGAAGCGGACATCCGTTCAAATGACGTCGTTACCATTATGTTCGATGGCATCTGGGCGTTTTAGCACGTATTTCAACTGGCTTCCTCAGCCTGATAAAGCTGCTGAAGGAAGTCTAAAGAACTCATCGCCAGCTTCACATATGCTATTTTTGCTATGACCTTTAATTGTCAGTCTGTTTTGCACTGCTTAGGTTTCCTGTCATTTCATATCCCCCGTCCACACTACGCCGGAGGAATTTGAAAACGCAACTTTATTTCTACGGTAAGCCTACCGTTCACACCAATCCGTCACGAAAACGGAACTTTTCGAAAACGCTTTTCAAACCGGAGGAATTTGAAAACGAGTTTTCCTCAGCCACAAATCCAAAATGGCCGGTTATTGTTGCGTTTTCAAATTTCTCCGGCGTAGTGTTAGTCTCCTCCGCAGCCGTTTTTTGGGATGTCACGCAACGCTCCCCCCAAAGAAACGGCTTCTCACATCCAAACAACATTCCTTTCACGAAATTAGCCAATCACCGCTTCCGTTCCATTTTCAAGAACGTTTTCGCGCCAAATTCGCCCTTTGAAACTTGTCCAATCAGGGAATGTTTTTCATCTTTGTATCCCGTCGTGGGAGATGTCACAAATAAACATACAGATTTCCGGCTTT